GGGCTACATACCAAGGACAGCAAAAACTAAGATAAAACGCGGACACACATCCACGACTCGAGTGGGATTCGAGACCATGTTCACAGTGTTCAAGCGGTAAAAGACGGTACTGGTCTTAGATCGCATGGCCAATGTTATCGAATGTACAAATATTAATAGCGGAAATTAAAATTATTTTAATGTTTTAATAATGTTACATTAGTGCGACAGCAAAAACAGTTTTAAACGGAAGTTTGTTAACAAATTCTCTGGCCGTTCTCCTCTAGGCAAAAAGGCTGGCCTCAACCTGGGGGGGGGAAAGAAAAAAAAACCCTTGACCAAGTCTGTGGCCGCAATGTGAATTGTAATCACAAAATTTAGATTTCAGTAAATAAACTTTTCTACTACGCTTTCATGTAATTACGTTATTAGTATCAATAAAGAGAAAATATACTTACTTATTTACTCATGAAGCTGAGCCCTTCTGGAGGAGCCGCCAATTCTGCAGCTACTCAATAATTTCCCAGCATTTTATGGAACCCGAAGGTTCGTTACCCTGTTCACAAGAGCCCTCCACTTGTCCCTACCCCGAGTCAGACCAATTCAATCCGTACCATCCCATCCTATGTCTCTAAGAACCATTTTAATATTGTCCACCCACCTACGCCTTGTTCTTCCCAGTGGTCTCTTTCATTCTCGCTCTTTCACCAATATCCTATATGTATTCCTCTTCTCCCCAATTCGTGCTACATGCCCTACCTAATTCATCCTCCTTGACTTGGTCATTCTAATTAAAGATAAATTATATAATGATATCTTCGTTGCAAAATGAAATTATATTTATTTATTTGATTTACACCTGAGATGTAGGGCAAAGTAACGAGAGACGAGGCACGATTACATAACAGGGAGCGCCAGAATTTGCATTCCTCGCTAAATATTATTACAGTAGCCTGCAAATACAATTGCAGTGTATTACAAAGCGTACATAACCTTACACAACATTTTGTTGTAGTTAGTTGAACATACATAGTATCGAAGAAAAGGAGCTTCAAAAGAAAATTTCAAATCTTAATGATAAGTGTGCACCATTTTTTTCTGCGATGAGCCATTTTTGGGAAAAATAAATTTCTATTTCGGTTTTACACACCACGCTGCTTTCTATATGCCTGATGCATCTATACGGATTCAATAAAATTTGTGTATTCTCTAACATAGAACGCACCCCTTAACTGACTAACTGGAGCAGAGATCTTCTTTGGTAGCAGGTAGCAGTGAGCTAGTCAAGAAATGTTCTCATTAACTGATAGTTCATTTCAAGAGCTGGCCACTGTATCTTTTACCAAAATAATCCAGTTCAAGTTCCCAATATTATTTCTTTAAGGTCTATTTTAATATTATCATGTGTATTGGTGACTAGTAGACGGGGTTTGGGTCGGTGAATCAATTTATTGAATATTCACTCGTCGTAACTACAATTAATTATAATACTCTAAGGGTTACTCTAATTATAACACAAATAAAATCTTCTGTATTTGTACTTGCACTAGTCGTTGCTAGGTAACAGATCTCAACTATGGCTAAGCCTTGACAGTGTTTTTACTATTCGTTTCCCGATAACGAATTTTACGCAGGAACTATAAAAGCCTTCAAATCACATATTGAGTCTTCACAGGGCGACTTATAATTCTTCTTTCACTACGAATTTTCCGTGGCTGTCTTCAACTCTTAAGTTTAATTCTTTCAACTCCGTTGTATCACTGGATGTCTTCAAGATAACACCTCGGCACGGACCACGCACAGAAAACACATGTCACATGGCGTCTACCCAGCCAGTCCACTGGCATGCTGGTAGCTGCCTACTGAAAACACACGTTACTTGACAGCTACCCACTGTTGCGGTAATATTATTGCACCTGCGCGAAAGTGTCTTTTTACCGAACCGTTGCCTAGAAACGGGTTGCATAAATCCTTTGTTCTATCATTACCTGTATTCGTTGCCGCGAGAATGTTAGCGGACATTTCTCTATTGTTACAGGAATGACCCATATGTCATAATATTATCACCCATCTTCTCCTAGGTCTTGCAACTGATCTCTATCCTTCAGGCATTCGTGATAGTACTTTGTGTGTAGACCTCAGTCCTCACAGTAACAAATTTCATCAAAATTCGTTTAGTAATTTTAAAAATGAAACATGGGTAGTTGCAAATGGACGGACAGAGAGTGTCTCCCAAGAATATATCCAGCTTATGCATTTTATGCAAAGAGTGCATAAAAGTATGAGGCACTGTTTAACATGTGCAGTATACATTCTGAAATAAGTCTGTGTCGTCATAATTTTATGAGATAAGGACAGGGGGTAATTCAAGTAAGTGAAACTCCTTATAGCGCCTTGAATTAAAGTAACTTAGACAGTTTCGTCCCATTTGCAGAGCTGAGGGTGGGTTGAGGAGACATTAAATGGAGAGGTTTCTCGACCTCGTTAGTTATTACCTGCCGAGCTACTGATCTTGGTTCGTGATTCTGGGACTCTGAATCTTTTACAGGGCTTGAACGCTTCTGTGGTATATACTGTAACGTTCAACTTCTTTCCTGTCTCATGGTTCCTTATGTGGCAAAGTTACGGGTTATTAATCCTTTAAGACTTAATTCGAACCATATATAAAAATTCAGTTCCTACCTCACAGGAAACACATTACATCTGCACTGTAAAAACCAGCCATTTAATGCTGTTTAGGGAAATAATCGCTGTTTGTTGTGAGAGCCATGCCTAACACACAAATGTACTCTATGCACAGAATGCAGAAATTTGTATACAGCAGGTGGTACATGTAGAACCACAGGGCTCTGAAGGGTTACATCAGGATATTGAATAAACAAGTATAATTTTGTGCTGTAATCTGGTGGTGTTTACAAAATTATAGTAAATCGTAATACAATACAATGACGCACAAACCAATATGAATATACAATGTGTTTCAAAATTATTGTCGGGGTTTCCGTGGCATATACTATTCAACCTGGAGACAAAATGAAACTGCTTAGGAATATGAAAGCGTAACTCATAATGTTTTGTAGCAATACTGTACTGGCCGCAATGATGTCTGGGGGAAAATATGACGTCATACCTCAAAATGGCGACTGTTCAAGAGAAAACAATGTGCGTACTTTGTTTTTTCGAAGCAATCTCCGTTATCAAAAAACAAGTTCGTTACAGAACTCAATATTGAAGAGGTCCACCTTCAGATAATGCCATCCGACGTTGGTTAAAGCAATTTCAAGAGACTGGTTGTGTTCTGCACCGAAAAGAGCGAGAGGACCGAGCACTTTGCAGGAAGATGTTGATCGAATCCAGGAAGCATTTTCCCGAAGCCTTGGACATTTTACGCGCTAAGAAAGGCGCGCATGTTGAAGTTGTTTAGCATTCTGCAGAATTGATTCTATAGACAATAAAAGTTTTTGAATTACACTTTCATATTCCATAAGCAGGTCTATTTTATACTTCTCGGTTTGAAAGTTATAGGCTACAGAAACCCCGACAATATTTTTGAATCACTCTGTGTGTGTGTGTGTGTGTGTGTGTGTGTGTATTGCTAGCGAGGTCAAGTGTATGTTCCATCATACGAGTACTGAATGTATATTCCTACATATTCTTCTAAAAAACTTGACTGTTTGTACTGAAATTATTGACTAATAGGACATTCCCGATGATAACTGTTTGATAGTCGAAATATGTCGCGGTGTTGAATTAAAGGTACTAAATTATAGAATCCACTTTATGCTAGGAACTCTTCGAATTTAAGCAATTCCAGCCCAAATTTTCTTTAAATTATAATACCATTAGACAAGGTATTTTCTGACACCTTTGAATCTAGAATGTGTAGGGCCATTGGATTATAGAATTAATTTCTCATTTCTTCACTTAGGATGGAAGCAGAAAATTCCTCCGAAACGTCTGTAGTCACCTACCAAAATCCGCGATGTTATATCCCCGAAGACTACAATCTGACTCTTCTCCAAAGTGGAAATCTTAAATACCAAAACTGAATTACATTCTCTTGCGGCGTTAACTTGGCTTTCCTCCATAATCTTCAGCTATTGACATGACTGGCGTGTCCCGGTAGTTAAACTGCAGGGTATCTGTCTTCTAACGCCGGATCAATTTTCACCCAGTCCATATTGATATTTATGATGTAATAAGGCGAGAGAAGGTACCGTTCATAAACATCGCTGCAGACACCTTGCGTTCTGTGCACCAGAACAAAAAATACGTTTTCATTAATGACTTTATAAATTACTGGTAGCTTAGTCATAGACCATCAGTGTAAGTATAAAAGACGGATTAAACATGTATTGAGAGAGGAATGTTTTTTATGGACACTAGTGAGTCATCTGTTTCCTCAATTGTACTACTGTTTAACCACCACAAATTTTCTTTTTAGTAAACGACCTTCATGTTCGGACGAACTACTTAAAAAATAAAGAAAAAAAAATGCATAAATCATCTATTTATTGTTCGTTTAAAATTATAGAGTATGTTAATTCTCAGACAATTGTTCCTTAGAGCTACTCTGACATCGCAAGTGGTTCGCTGATGTTTTCAGAAACGCTGCTAGACTAAAGAATAATAACTGGACATTACGAATCTAATTATAATTCCCGGTCATGCGCAAACGTGATGTTGTATGTGTTGGTGAGGGTGGGCTTTGAAAGAGGGCGCGGGAAGCGAAAGTTGTCAAGAGGAAAGAGGGTGCAGAAAGGGGAAGGGGGCATGGCGGGGAAGGGGTGCTGTAAGGGATTCATCAAAGTAATAAAGGAGAATGCTGCTGTGTTGGTAAAATGGGATGAGATGCACGGACTAGGCATCGGGGGAAACAGAGAGAGAGAGAGAGAGAGTGAGAGGGCTGGAGGAGAATACAGCTGTGGGAGTGGGGATAAACAGTTCAACGTTGATCTCGTAGATGGCTCTGGCGGAGACATGAAGTGTCCGCCTCCCGCATAGTTTGTTGCAGGAGAAACGCGTGGAGACTTTCCGCTCAGTGCGGTTCAGGTAGAGGATAGTAGGTGACGTATTAAGCCGCGTGTCATGATGTTTACATCCTGCTCTTGGCTACGATTAGCTCAGTCTATTGAATGATTATCTTCACCGCAAGTGAACATCTCTGTTCTCGTCTGAAGATTATTGACATTGATCTCAAAATGAAGGAGTCGTAGAAGAAGATGTTTAATACCTGTAAGTATGTCTCCCGAGGTGTAAGAAGAGACTTGGATGTTATAATTACATGCTAGCTGCGTAATAGACTACGGAAAGTGTGACGTAAAAGTACCCATTTCGCAATACTTAGCGGTAAAATAAGGATGGTGTGAATTGTTTATATTTGCGAGCGTGAACATTATATTAGAGGCAAACCAGAAATAACAACCGTTAAGTTAATTCTAAATACACGTGTGACTGAATGTGAAATACGCTTTACAGAATGACTTGTTTTTTAACCGTCTTTGGACATTGATTTTAATCTTTCCTGTAAGTTGTGGTGTACTAATACGAGTTGCTGTTTGTCATTTTCATTATGAACTGGACTGTTGCTTTGGTTTTGCGTTAGTAACAGAAACTTAACCTAAAAATATACGTAACTTCCTCAGTTTTCGGTAGGAGTGAATGAAGTTGGTGCTGAAGGAAACGAAATTGTAATACGTCCAAGTGGTTACGTAACTGTGACTCATAAACATTAATAACTGTGTGTTAAGTGCAACAAGATATGTGAAGACTGAATACATCTGTAACATAACCCAGCGCTTGAGAGAAGAATTTAAGTAGTTAAAAGACTACCTAGTGTATAGAATGCATGAAAAGGAAGAATTGCTCCCCCAGAGACTGTACTTAACATGAAGAAAAAAGTGTAAAAAGACATTGACATGTTATTAGTACCGACTGTAAGAACGTGAATGTCTTGAGTCGGTCTTGTTACAGTGTGATTACAGAGAGTTAACTGTTCCAAAACATTTATACAAAGACTGCGAGTTCTGAACTTTTAAGGTTATGTGTTAATTCACATAAAACAAGAGGGAGAGATAAAACGTGCTTTGTGTGCTGTTTGATATTAGAAAAGTTTTATTGTCTCTGTGACTGGTTACTCTTTTTTCACCGTATTTAGTTCATCTAATTAACTTTTCTACGTGGGTACGGGGGTAGAGAGAGACAGACAGAAAGAAAAGGGAGGAAGACGGAGGAGATATATCTTGCTCTACAGGGACGAAGCGTCGCTACCACCACGTCGGGTAAGTGTGGGAAATTCAAACGTATCCATACCAATTTTGTTTTTTGCATCCGTAGATTTAATTAATTTGTATAAGGGCAGCCTTGTAGTATCCCATTAGCCGATTGTGCCCACGATATTCGTAAGGCGTCGCTAAAAGGAATCGATTGGAACAAGCGACTTAATTGACTAATTTTTTTAGTAACCTGGTAAAAAGGTAAAGTTGTCCCTGTGCTTAACTAATTAAGCATTACGCCAAGAAGACGTATGGGGCAGTGGATGGTGAGCTTCACACCCCGGCCGCTTTACCCACGGCGAAAGAGCCCCCGGTACCCATTGGATGGGAGGTTGGATGGACCCCGGAGCCGGTGTGGACGACATGGAGATTTGAAAATTCTTGACCCCACCGGCATTCGAACCTCGATCCCTTAGTCGTCCAGCCCGTAACGAGTCGCTATGCCGACAGCGCTGTCCCTGTTCTTAGGAACGTGAGGTATGAATAAGTAAGTAATTAAGGTTACCTCTTCAGAAAACCTTGCATATTTTCCCAATGAGGTGTATGTTGTCTGAAGATTTGATCTAATTAAGAACTTCCTGCATTTGATCCAGAATAGAAAATGTGACCCAGTCAGGGCGTACCTGGTAATATATTTGACAGTTATATTTTAGGCTGCATAAGTTGGTATCAACTTCGCCGAAAAGCGGCGGTCGCTCGATCGGTATAGTTCGCTTGCGGACTAAAACTACGGAGTTTATTTTATTCATAAAGTAACAGCAAATTCTGAAGTTATGTCCCGTAATTGTTACACTGTCTCCACACTGTTACATAGTTTGTGTCTGTCCAATATATTCTCCTAAAATATATGTTAACTTATGAAATCACAGTGATTACTGCGTGTATCATATGATGTAAAATGAAATAGTTCTGGATTTTGACCACACAGTATAATTATATGTTTCGTAGCGTTCTCAGGTGACCAGCAGCTATATCCCTAAACAGCGACGTCTTGATATCCCCATGCACTTAAAAGTCTCTGACTCACGGAGCTGAGCCCTTCTTGAGAAGCTGCTATTCTGCAGCCACTCAAGAACTTCCCAGAATTTTATTGAAAGCAAAGGTTCATTACCGTGTTCACAAGAGCCATCCACTGCTCCATATTCTGAGCCACATCAATCCAATCCCATCCTGTCTCTCTAAGATCCATTTTAATATTGTGCACCCACCTACGTCTTGGTCTTCCAAGTGGTTCTCTCCTTCTGGCTTTCCTACCAATATCCTTTATGCATTTCTCTTCTCCCCCATTCGTGCTGCATGCCCCGCCCACTTCATCCTCCTTGACTTCATCGTTCTAATTATACTTGGCGAAGAGTACAAGTTATGAAGGCATACACTTAAAAATAAATTTTGAAATTTGAAATCCTTCGCGCATCTTCTTTCCTTGTCAGTTTCAAAACATAATCAGTACCGTTGTGACAAGTGTAGACTCCATTTGGTGCTACAGCGAGGGTGTGTTATCGGTAGTTGTTGACTTAGACAGTTGCGTCGTGATTCGGAAGTTATTTCATTCTACGTACTTCCGGCATTCCTACGCCAAGGGACCAGATCCGCTCTCTAAAAAGGGCAGGCTGATACCTCCATTTCGTGATGCCTGTTGCCATACACCTGTGAGGCTATGTGGTGACCACAACCCAGAAGACCAGATCCTAAATTTAGGTCATATGACTAGGCAACGGAAACTGCAATCCGGACACTCCCAGCCGATCGCAGTCCGTTACAGAACTCAATTTCCTGAGACTCCAAGCGAACTCCGGGAGGTGGGGTTCCAGAACGTGTTATTCAGTCGCTCCTCTGTAAAAACACATGTTAAGCTGAATGTGGATTACGGTAAATACAAGAAACTATATACGTATATTGTTTGTCTAAAACATCTTGAAGTTTACGTTATACCTTGACACGCAACCTTACGAAAGGAGGGTCCTGCGGTCCTGCTACTTATCTTGTGCTGACGATAGATTATAGTAAAGTATGTGATGTAAAATGCCGGTCACAGTGACCGCGCGGTCTAAGGCATGAACCGTCTTCTCCCGCTCTAACGCTTGGATCGTGGGTTGGAATCCCAGTCGAGGCATGAATGTCTTTGCGCGTTTATTCTGTGTTTCTGTTGTTCTGTATGTAGGTAGCGGCCTTGTGACGTGCTGATAACCCGTCCAAGGAGTAAAAAGCGGCGAACGTCCAAAAGGCTGAAGAGCAATAGAGGAGGGAAGAGCGAAGGATGTAAAGCAAAATTGTCCCTTTTCTCAATCAATTAAGCACAATGTCATTAAGACACATGAAGGACTGGAGGTGTAGCTCCACCATCCTCAACCTCGGCACTAGGTGGGGGTCAGTGTTTACCATCATGCCCCGACCGATTTACTCTCGGGGAAAGAGAAGGGTCGGTGGGCCTCAGAGTAATTTTATAATGACGTCACTCTCCGATAACGACATAGCCTGAAAGATGTTTTAGACACAGTACAGTTTCAGTGCAGAGCACAAAATCCGTTTTTGCTCTCAAGCGACTCCGGTGTTCCTTCTGTCCATTAAAATAAAAATTAAATGGTGTGTATAGGCCTCTATAATGAACTTGAAATTCAATTTACAGCCTCAGTTTCCCTCCCAAGGGCAGTTTCATTTAAAGAATGACAGTAACATTGAAAACATTTGCAGAATGCCTCCCTGCCCCCAAACCAGTTCTAACACTGAATGAGACAAGAGACACACGTGACAGGATTTCCAAAAGAATTTTCAGCTTCCTTCACGTGCCAGAGACAACGTTTAGCCCATTTGGCCTCGACTTTGAAACCCATCACTGTGTGCTCATGTCCCGTAGATTTATGGAAATTATTTGAAAACCCATTTAATATCCATATTGTGAGATTTTATAGTAGTTAGTGATACCTGTATACTCTCCTGTTTTCTAGTGAAAATCGCTTAATCGCATAGAAGGTAAATGTGCTGTATGTATTAATAATTTTTAGTCTTATCTGCCCAACACTTAGCCTATGTCTCAGGCGGCGTGGTTTTTATACACTCGCCATCCACATATGTATTAATTTACGACATGCGCATAAGGGTGCAAAGTATAACATTACATATGCTCTCTTTACACATGTCATTACGGAACCCTTGGTCACATTTCGTAGCCGCTGCAGAAAGTTGTCGTAATTTAACTGCGAAATCTGTATATGACAGTAACATCAAATAAATGTAGGATTTGAGGTTCTCACACCGGTGGTCATGAAGAGTACTAGCTTCTGGGATATAACGCCGTGTAGTCCGTTGAAAGTCAACCGACGTTTCGGTGGAGCATATCGCCACCATCTTCAGGGTCGAAGAGTAAGCCGAACAAGAAACCAGCGTGAAATGAGGTGAAAAGCAGAGTGTATTCTTCGACCCTATGTTCTTCCGAAACGTCGGTTGACTTTCAACTGACTACGCGGCGTTATAGAAGATAATGCTCATCAAATTAAATGAAAATTGAGGTATGAGAAATGCATTGAAGACTCTATTTTACATTTTTAAGGGACCTGAAATATACGTAAAACTGAGGAGCGTGTAAAATTAAGGGAATGCAAATGATGCAGTGTAAAGAAGAGCGTGGGTTGTGGTGCACCGTAACTTGAGACTACACGTTTCGGCCTAACTGCTCATCTTCAGAGCTACAGGTTGCTATGGTTACGGATTCTGCTCCTCATTGTAATGCGTTTTTTTTTTGTTATGTGGGTTAACCATCTGTTTTATTTAGGTGCACCTCAGGAACACCAAAATAAAACAGTTGGTTAATCCACATAACCTAGAATCCCAGGCAACCACATCAGAAAAGCATAACAATATTACATTGAGCAGCGGGTCTCCCAGCCTTTTGTCTTCTCATCTGCTGTCCAAAAACATAAAAATTCGAATATACAAAACTATAATTTTGCCTGTGGTTCTGTATGGGTGTGAAACTTGGTCTCTGACATTAAGGGAGGAACATAGATTGAGGGTATTTGAGAACAGGGCGTTGAGGAGAATATTTGGACCGAAGAGGGATGAAGTGACAGGAGGTTGGAGAAAACTGCACAATGAGGAGCTTCATAACTTGTGCTCTTCTCCAAGTATAATTAGAATGATCAAGTCAAGGAGGATGAGTTTGGCAAGGTATGTAGCACGAATGTGGAGAAGAGGGATGCATACAGGATATTGATGGGAGAGCCAGAAAGAAAGAGACCACTGGGAAGACCAAGGCGTAGGTGGGTGGACAATATTAAAATGGGATGGTATGGATTGGATTGATATGGCTGAGGATAGGGACCAGTGGAGGGCTCTTGTGAACACGGTAATGAACCTTCGGGTTCCATAAAATGCTGGGAAGTTCTTGAGTAGCTGCAGATTTGGCTTCTCAATAAGGGCTCAGCTCCATAAGTAACTAAACGGGTCTCCCATCACAACAGCCTGTACAACTGATGATGGCCGGTTAGGCCGAAACATGAAGTGTCAAGGAAGAAAAACGAGAGTGAATGGTAACCGATGTTGCACATAGACGGCATAAAAGCAAAACGCGAAGACAGATCTGTGTAGTGTAACAGGATGCAACAATATAACATTAAAGTACACGTGTCTGAACACAGTAACAATTGAAATGTAACATGTTATTGTTAACCATTCAGACAAATTCTGTTTTCTTGTAATCTCTCAGTCCGTATAACTCTCACGTGAGGTTCGAAACTTTCATATGAAAACGTGCGCCCATTTTATTGGGACAGCAAACCTTGGACGTTAACGGAACAGAGACGAGCCATATCGTTGTAAACACTACATGAGGTAAATGTCTGTTGTCATATTTTGAAAAGGGAAGCGCTGTAATCGGTAAAAACCTAAGGATGTATCAAATTCATCTTGTAGTCACTGTATTAATAGTAGTTTAATTTAATTTTAATAATAATATTTGCTGTTGATTAGTAGCGTCGCTGAGTATGTTGTATAATGTAAAAAAGTAAAAG